GTCGCTTCTGCCAATTTTTCCAGAATGGAAGTCTGTTGCTCCAAACGACTAAACAGGTCGTTACATGGATCTTTGGTATGATATTGATATGCTCAAGTTGTGAAATGTATTTTGTGGATTTTAAATGAGTGTTTATTTCACCGTCAGCTCTATGGAAGTGGATCTTAGGATGACAAGCTTATAAGTAAAGGAACTCTCAACAAGTATACTTGTGTGAACGTAATTGAGAATTTTAGTAAGAAAATGCGTATAAAATTGTGTTAGTCTTTTGAAAATGATTTGTGAGTAACGTGGTTGCAAGAAAAGTTGTAGGAGGTAAACACCACTCAAATGGAAATTAAAAAAGCTAGAGTCATAATGAAAAATAATAATAAATTAGTGGGATACAATGTAGCCTTCAGAAAGGGGTGAGAAAGTAAGAATGTTCTCATTGCGAGGTGCCACGATCCAAAATCACAAGTCGTGATGGCACCTATGTTCCCAACCGATAGATAAGCTAACTCAATACTTTTACCGATTCAATTCAATATTTTAAGTAGAAAATAAGCAAAAATATAATATCCAATCACTAAATCATTTACAAGTTGAAATGCGGAAACCACAATTTCTACCCCAAGATTTAGTGTCATAAGTACAAGAGCTTCTAAACTACGATACAAATCTAGAACTAAACGACAAACCTAGATGAGAGAAATATCCTGTCTAAATACTAAAATAAAATAATAACGTCTAAAGACATATAAGGAGGTGTGGGCCACAGAACAGCTAAGTAGATCACCACAACTCCACGATAAATCAAAACTCAGCTCTAAAAGATCCACAATATGCCCTTGAAATTGATATCCAATATGCACCACAAAAGAGTAGAGCAAGTATAGTATGATTACATAACCACGTGTACCCAGTATATCTCATTGACCCGACAACGAAGAAGTAGTGACGGGAATTTATATAAAAAATTTAAATATTTAATTATACAAGTCTATATTACACTTACTAGTCAAGTTTCATCAAATAGAGGTAATCCACCATCATATAACTTCCAACCACCAAATAAAAGGGGGAATTATTGGTTGTCGATACCTGAACGGGGTGGTTCCGATCATGGACGATGCCTTGCAAGCCCTAACAGAGCTTTCTAATCTCAGTTGCCACCCGTTAAACGGCGGCAAATTCAATGGCTTAAATGACGTCAACGGCGAAGAAGAGGAAGAGTATGACACCGAGGCTTGGGAAACGATCACAAAGTGTTTTCGGGAGGTACAATCGGTTCTGGATCAGAACCGAGCTCTGATTCAACAGGTGAACGAAAATCATCAATCGAAGCTTCGAGATAATCTGGTGAAGAACGTCGCTCTTATTCGAGATATAAATAGTAATATCTCCAAAGTTTCTCGCTTGTACTCTGATCTCTCCATAGATTTCTGCAACATCGTTAATCAGCGATGGGAACTTGCTTTGTTTGAATCTAAAAATCGCGATGATAATGTGGACAGCGCCGAATCCTGAGTCAACTCGTTTGGTGAATCCAAATCTAGAATGATTCGTTGATTGATTGCTGATTTGCGAGGCTGCTTTTGTCTGCATTCACTGATGTCCCGCGAACGTGATTGTGTTTGAGGTATTTATGTCATGTTGATTTATTGTTGATTTGCGAGGCTGCTTTTGTCTGCATTCACGGATGTACCGTGAACGTGATTGTGTTTGAGGTATTTATGTCATTTACACACAGTATTTCCTCTGTTTTCGTGATTTCTTCTCCTGAAGCAGAGGAAAGGTGATTGAGGTATTTATGCAGTTTAAACATGTTATTTCCTTAGTTTTATCTTCTTTAATCTCCCATCATTGGGGTCAGTTTCTATTTATCTTCCAGTCAAATGATCCTCTTAGCTTATCAGAGGCCTTGACATGTTTATTTCAACTGCAATAGCTAATCAAAGTTCTTATTTCTTGTAAAAAAAAAACCACCAAATAAAACACACAATCATCAAGAATGAAGGATGTAATGAGATGCAATGCAATATCACACCATGAAATGATATGCCTTAGAATACCCAATACTCTCTCAATCATATATACATGATACTCCTCGGAAAAACATCGAGAGTTCATGATTCATGGGGGACTCGCTAGGTCCATATACCGACACGGACAATCTCCATGTGTATGTGCGGACGATCTCAAGGCACTATCATAAAATTAAATAATTTCCGCACGGAGTGCCCAAATTATAATCTTTAAATCTCGTTATCCCTAGCACGGACGATCTCCACGTGCCCAACTTATACTCAATCTTATGTCAATGCATGTACATAATATCATTTCAAATAAGGTGAATATCAACATAATACATAACCACCTCAATTATCACAACTATACGGGTGTAATAACGAAAACACAATCACACAAGGATTTCAAGTCAATCAGCTATTACCCATATGCTTTGTCATTCTCAATTTATAATCCACATTTTGATAGTAGTAACTTTCCCTTTTATAACATCGGTACTCGTACCAATGCCTGTCACAACATTGATACGAGACCTCCATCTTTCGCCCTTAACCATTGTCTATTTTGGTTTTAATCTTTAATTAGGAAAAAATCGTTCAACAAGTCTAAAAATTTTAATATACCTTGAATGTCGAAACACATTTCAAAAGTCCTCAAAATTTTACCTTTCCCTTTCGTAAAACTTTTAAACATTCCCAATCTATCAATTATGCATAATTCGTAAGCAATTGAGTCTATAGATACTCATATTATTATATGTCTAATATATAGACAAACAAACTCACTCATAATTTAATTCAAGATCCTAATCTTGATATCATTTATATTTAAACAATCATATTTGCTAAATTTTCAAGTCTAGAATTAAGCCACAATCTATCTAAATATCCTAATTTACTAATCAATATATATATATAAATGAGGATCTTCAATCCGCCTATGTGGCATGCCTCAATGTTGAGAGAAAAAAAAAAAATATATATATATATATATATATATATATATATTTAAAAAAATAAGAGTTTTTAGATTATTTCTTTTTACACAATATTATGTGTATATATATATTGCTATTAATAAGTAACTTAATGAGCATTACACCTCCTAACCTTTTAATAATATATATAACATCTAATTTTTAATTTAATAATATAACTCCTAACCTTTCATATTCATAACCTTCAAAATATTTAATATAAAAATTATAACTCCTAAATATTACACCTATAAAAACCCACTTTGAGACATTGCATGATGGTCATTTTATTTTTATTTTCCTTATTCTTCATTTTTTATTCCTTTGATTTGTTAATTTTTTTTGTCTTCTTTGAGCTAATTTTTGTAGGAGAGGGATGTATAATGAAAAATGTAATATATTTTGCATATTTTGATTTTGTTAGGTAAAATGATTTGACATGTCTAATTATCATTATCACTTTTGTTCTATCGTAATTATATATAGATTTGATATTATTAGGTTGGATTGTTGATGACACAAATCATGATTCTTTTATAGAAAAAATAATTTGTTTTTTTTGCTTCTCTTTGCAGTTTTTTGATATTTTTTTTCTTATTCTTGAAGTTTCTACCGACACTGATTGTCTTTATTCACTTTGTAAATTTAAAGAATTGAATTATGTTATGTTTAGAACATGATCCTTCTTTCCTCTTCAAATCATATATAACTTAAATATTTAAATATTTTTGCTTGATTAGTTAACTATAATTTTATGTCTTTTTGTTGTTATTATTGTAAGGATCATAATTATGTTATGTTGAGAACGTGATCCTTCTTTCCCCTTCAAATCATATATAACTAAATATTTTAATATTTTTGCTTGATTAGTTAATTATTTTAGGTATGTTTGTTGGTACTATTGTAAGGATGTTTATAGTTCTCCGGTTAAACCTCTGATGCAATAAGAGTTGATTGGTTCCTTATCAAATTAATTAGTTAATTGAAAAAACGCCAATATATCTTATTTCTAATTTCGTCTAACAATATCTTCCTCCTCACTAGCTATAAAAATGTTATACAAATATATAATAAATATAAGTAATAAAAAAAGTAATATATCACATATCAATATAAAGTAAGTAAAATACTAAATATTAAATACAAATATTATATAAGTAAGAATCAAATAAATCGATTCCTCTTATAATTTCGTAACTCACAATACATAGCAATGATATGGTAAAAATAATAATTTTAACGTTGCATTATTTTTTTATTATTTATATATAGAAATTATTTATAGGCCAAATATTTCACAATTTTGAGAATTTAATCAACAAAAAATTAAATATTTTTTAATTTTATTTACACATTCATACGATTACTTTTTTTTTTGATAATTTCAAAAAAAATCTAATTCCTTTTGATTAACTTTTTAATTCTATGTCCCTTTTTAAATTTATTTTTAATTAATTTTTCTCTTAATAGATATCTCTCCTATAATAAACAAGAGAAAAAAGAATATATTGTTCAAAATAATAGTAATTAGTAAAAATAATGTATATTATTAGAAGCATATTTGGAGACTTTTAA